CAACTCAATTTGTTGGAGTTCAACAACTTCCTTGCTCAATGAGCCCTGTGCCCACGACAAGAAAACCATCAAGTCTCGCTGGTTGTGACAGCGAGCACGGGCAGAGCCCAACTTCGTCCCCCGCACGCGGTGCCATGTCGGACAGTGCGTGCGCGGCACCGGGGGGTGTATATCCCAGGCTCGATGGGCACAAACATCGCGTTCCGCACACGCTTTCAGTGCCGAGTGGCCTCGTTGAGGATGTGTCGACTATGAGTCTGACACCTCTTTCCCGCATGGGATGACGAGGAAGGCGAGCTGCATCAACAGCGTGATACGAACCGTGTTCGCGCCTTGCGGAATCCATGTCCGCTCCCTGACTTCTCGTCAACTGAGGAACGTGGTGTAATCACCAATGACCTCGACGGGGAACAGAGGCGGCATCTTGAAGTGCCCATAGGGCGGCTCTAAAGCGCGCCCATCCACGGTCGGTCATTGACCCTCGTGTGGAATATGGCTTCCGCCTTGCGGATCCCGCTTTGGAAGCGAAGAACGCTGTAACTCGATCGTTACGCATCCACATAATCGGGCCCCCGGCCAGAACGGATGATGAACGTGCCACACGGAAAGCTCTTCGAGCTCGTTTCTTGGTCCCACAAGAAATTCCGTTAAATGATTATCGTACTCGTCTGAGTGCTCAACAAGGTGGCTCTCGTGTACCCGTAATGCGGACAATACATGTATTGCTTTCGCCAGGGGCGAGCACTACAGATGACGGAGCGCTTTTTGAGCGATGGGTGCAACGGCACCGAAAAAATTCCTCACTGCATAACCTGCAGTTGAGCCACAAGGGCGTCTGATGACGCGGGACGTCCTGATCTTTTCGATCAAAAGCGTCCACGACGACTGGGCAATCTTGTCGAAGTGGCGCCTCAAATTCCCACGATTTTTCGGAGTCGGGATTTTCCCGCCAATTCACCAGATATTGGGTTTGACCCTGGTGACAACGTCGTCCAACAAGACGTTCCTCGTGATAGTGGACGTCACCGTTCTCATCGAGAAGAGACGGTGGCGGGCGGTGACGACCGGGTCGATTGCCGTCTGATGGCTAGTGATGCTCTTCAAAACCTTGAGGACAAGGTCCTTTGTGATTGAAGCTCCGTTGAGTGCTGAAGTAGCATATCGCTGTGCGGACGCTCTTGACGATTTATAGTT